TCAGTTAATTTTTTTTTTCGTATTTGTTAAAAATCTGATTTTTTTTTTTTTCCTTCAAAGGTTGATGCTCAGTTACAGGTAGTAAGGAAATTGGAAGAGAAGGAGCATCTGTTACAAAGCAACATTGGCACAGGGGAGAAGGAACTGGGTCTTAGGACTCAAGCCTTAGAGATGAATAAACGCAAGGTATGATTGCTTTACTCTGTAATCTAAAGTGATGATTGGTCTCAGGAGCAAATAAGTAGGACACTGATGAAATTACAGGTTCACTTTCTTCCTTGGACTGGGTTAATGTTTTGCCTCGCTAGCAATGAAGTGATGTGATTTGTACGTCCTGCCTAGGCGATGGAGGCAGCCCAGCTTGCAGATGACCTCAAAACACAACTGGAATTGGCTCAGAAGAAGCTACATGATTTTCAGGATGAGATTGTGGAGAACAGTGTCACCAAAGAAAAGGACATGTTCAATTTCAAACGAGCCCAGGTAAGAGTGATTATACTTTCTTTACATTTCACCTTTTTAGGTGTTTCCTGAGCTCTGAAATGACCCATGTTATGAAGAGTCATTGGTCTAATGTGTGTTGTTTCCTATTTGATTGTAAGTTCCTTGAGTGAAGAGACCAAGTCTGTTTTCTTCACTGTCATATCCCCAGAGCCTGTCATGGTGGGATGAAATAAATATTTATTAAATGAATGAATTGGTGAATTTGTAAAGTAGCAGTGTATCAAATTAGAGGATTTTTAAATTCTATAATTTTTCTATATCTGGCATGTCAAATGATTCTAATGATGACTTCCTATCCTTATCCATAGATCTGTAATTATTTTAATCCAGTCTACCTTCAGCTTGAAACTAATTACCTTAAAATTGACTTATCAAGTTATTAATTTTTTTTTTTAATTCTTAGACTGTATTTTTATGGAACTGAATTGATAATAGGTGCAACTCAGGTTTGCTAATAGATTATGGTTTTGGGCTCTGGAACAAAAGATGATGGTTGTGTGTTCTAGGTTCAGTTCTCTGCATACCTATAAGATAATTGGACATAAAAGGACAGAAAATCCTTTCTTTCCACAGCAGAAAGTTCAAGTTGAAGCAATTTTCACTCAAAATTGGCAGGTTTTGGGGAGTGTGTCTAATGGGTATGCTGTCTTACCACAGGAGGACATCTCTAGACTTCGAAGGAAGCTGGAGACCACAAAGAAACCAGACAATGTACCCAAATGTGATGAGATCCTGATGGAGGAGATTAAGGATTACAAGGTTAGGAAAACTGCCTCAGTGATTTCTCTGTGTTTTGTCCAGGCCTGAAGTGGCCTGCTAATAGAGTGGGAGAATAAATACTGGTCTTTACATGAAGGTAACCAGAGGATGGTTTATTTTATTTATTTATTTTAAAGTTACTTATTTTGAGAGATTTGGGGGGGGGGTGCAGAAAGAGAGGAAGAATCCCAAGCATGCCCTGTGGTGTAAGCACAGAGCCCAACATGGGGCTCAGTCTCATGAACAATGAGATCATGACCTGAGCTGAAATCAAGGGTTGGACACTCAACCGACTGAGCCACCCAGGTGCTCCAAGGATGGTTTATTGTACGTGTGTGGGGAAGTGGCACTCTTGGCAGTGGTTAGTGGGTTTCCTGGTTGGTTGTTTGCTTACATATGACAGCCATTTAAACTTTTATAGTTGATCAGATTCTGGCTTCTTTTTTTTAGGCACGCCTGACCTGTCCATGTTGCAACATGCGTAAAAAGGATGCCGTGCTTACCAAGTGTTTTCACGTGTTTTGCTTTGAGTGTGTGAAGACACGCTATGACACCCGTCAGCGCAAATGTCCCAAGTGTAACGCTGCATTTGGTGCCAATGATTTCCATCGCATCTACATTGGTTGAGCCAAGCCAAGAGAAGAAGAGGGAATGGCTAGACAGGCACCTATTCAGTAACCATCAAACCTCTACCTCTTCTCACCTTGACTGTCATCTACGGGGCAGTTTATCTGTCAACTACCTTTCCTTCACAGACTTTACGTCCAGGTTCTCCTCCCTAATAGCTACATGACTTCAGGGAAAAGGACTGGTAAAGGCAAGTCTTGGGTTTTAGAATGAATTAGAAACCTCTTATTTGTCTTCCCCACCAGCTTGTTTCTTTCCTGCTTTTAGATTTTTCAGCATTTTCTTCTTCAGGCTTAACTGCATAAATAATCGTGGATTGTTCATTCCTCCTGAAGAAGCAAGTTGGTACTCTTGACATGGAGAAGGGAACAAGAAGAGTGGAGACACATGGCTATTTTGGGGAGTGAGGGCGATCTTTTAGAAATAAGCTATCCATGGGCACAAACATTTCTTGATTTGGGTAGTAAACTTTTTGTAGACTCGGATTATAAAATGGTATAATTGTGCTTTTTCCTGGATGGTTTGAAGCCTTAATGAAATTATGTCCAGGATGATTCAGTTCATTTCCTATTCACTAACAAGCTAACTTGTTAAGGTCAGCTGGTTTCCATGTTGAAGTTATTTAAGTTTTGAATGTTCTACTCATTGAAAGGTCTTTAAATTTCTTGAGGCCAGAATAATTTCAAATGCAATCGCCCCTTTTATCTTATAATGAAATCAAGATTGGAGAGGATGGGGAACAGGACTGAGATGGTGAAGAGCTCTTCTGGGTACTCTGGGAACTTGATTACAGGGAGGTCTTGGTGAGCCATGAATTACTCTCCTCTGCCTCTCTACAGGGATTCTTGTGATCCCTGTTCCCCAGAAGATTCTCTGCAATGTTTCTGTAGGACTTTATACTCCATAAGCTTCAATTAAAGCAGGATTCAATTTGCTTTAGTGTTTGTGTTTTTCTTGGGCAGTAGGTGGTTTGGGTTTGGATATTGACTTTATGACACTTGGCTAGGAAAGCTGGCCGCCCAGGATTGGGGGACTGCAGCCTGTGGAACATTGTGGAGGAAACCACTAGTCCCATGGGAAGCTGGGTTTAGGGGAAGGTCCTTTAGCTGGGAAGAGCAGGGAGTGCCTAGTCCCAACTAGTTTGAAGTCCTGGCAACATGGAGAGCTCTTACAGTCATTTTGAGATAATTATCAAAAATGGTGGTGGTTTTTGGATAGTCTGGCTTCTTTTTACAGACGAGGCCAATGAATGGACTTCAGGGATACCCATAAATTGTATACAAAATTTTTGAATTTTGAAACTTCACAAATCCCAAAGAAGTTCAGACTTACTGCTGTAGATCCATAAGGAAATTTTTAGACAATTTGTTTAATGCCTAAATAGAATGCCAATTTCAAAGATTATTGGAGAAGTACTGAAGTCTTTTTTCTTTTTTCAGGTCTTATGGGGGATGGTCTCTTTTTTTCTTGACTTTCCTTTGTTATCTTGGAAATTGTCTTGGTAATTTGGACCAAAGTCTGGGTTGATCTGCTTTAAGGCATGTGTCTTTATCTTACCCTCTAACTTCTGTAGGGATCTTTTTCAAAGGTGCTCAGCCATTTCTGCTAGTTGTGGCATTCATACATGAATTTCCATTGGGATTCCTTATTTATTTTCTTAATCTCAATCCAGATCCAAAGGCATATTTGTCCTTTGAGGGCCGTTCTGTGCACGTAGTACTCTATGCGTGTCACTTGAGTAATGAATGTGATTTGATACTGTGGCGATTCAGGGGGAGCTTCTGGACAATAGAGAAGTGGTCATCGGGCTTCTTTTAGACCTAACTGGGATGGTGATGCTCACTTCTTGAAGGAAGCTGTGTGCTGCTGTCATCAGTTTCATGGTCGTTTGCTGGTGTGGAATGCCTTTACGCTTTGGTTTTTAATTTTGTTGAGGACTGTCGATTGATAGACAAAGCCAAGTACCAGTGAGTCTGCAGAAAAATTTTGACTACTTGTTAACCATGAAACCTGCCTTGAGACAATAAGACAGCTACATTGAGAGGATGTAGACACTGGTGGGTGGTGTGCATGTTGGATTTGTTTACACAGTAGGAAACCCCTGGTGTAGAAGTAACCTCAACATTTCCTGGATCTGTAATTGTCCCACCACAAAGAAAAATTGAGCTTTACTTTCTGGAGGTTTCTGCCCAAGTTTGGTCTCTTCCTAATGGTAGATATCAAGGTCTTATTTGTAGCATACTTCACAGATACTAAAATAAGGACATGGAAAGAACAGTGTCTTAACGCAGTTCCCAGTCCCCATCAGAGGGCCTGGCACACAGCACTCCAGGAAGGTCCGCGTGGTAGGTTAATTCAGCTCCTTGCTTCTGCTAACAAGTCCTCTGAAGTCTGCTGAATTGGCCCAATGTGTAATTCAAACCCTACTCATGTTTTTTCACCGTCCAAGTGGAAACAATTTTTCCTCATATATTGAAGTTACTCTTCAAATTTGATTTTCCTAAAATATATTACTATATTTTAAATTTCCTTCTGTAGTGATAACAAAAGGAATTATTATGAATTCTAAAACTACTACCTCTGTTCAAGACAACCCATGATAGCTAGGGTGTCTTTTGTAGGTTTAGTCTTGTTTTGAGGGAAATTATAAAGTTGGAAGCAGTACATTTGCATTAATAAAATAATGCTATGCTCTGAGGATTCCAGGTTACTAAACTCTATGGGGTAGAATGATTGGAAAGATAGGATGTGGGAGCTGAAAGGAACTTTAAATAAACCATGTCCTTATTTTAAACAGGAGGAAACCAGTCCCAGGGCCACTCAGTTTAGTAGTAACAGCAGAATCAAAATGTGGCAATCAGACCTCTGTTTTCTTTTACCCTAAGTGGAGACCTGTACAAATAAGAGTGCATGTTACCAGGAAGATAATAAATTAAAATACTTTGAGTCTTCTTAGTCTCTTTGAAGACATACACGAACCTAGTATATTTCTTTTTTTTTTTTTTAAGTTTGAGAGAGCAAGAGTGCGCACAAGTGGGGAAAGAGCAGAGAGAGAGAGAGAGGGAGAGAGAATCCCATGCTCACAGCACAGAGTCCAGTGTGGGGCTTGATCCCATAAACCATGAGATCATGACCTGAACTGAAATCGAAGAGTCGGACGCTTAGCTGACAACCACCCAGGTGCCCCAAGGAAGACAAAGTTTTAAATACGCTAACATTAAAAAAGTCTTAGCTAGGTCTCTGCTGTGGACTGAATGTGTACCCCCAAAATTCATGTATTAAAACCCTAATCCTCAATGTGATGGTATCTGGATATGGGGTTTGGGGGAGGTAATTAGGTATTAGTGTTGAACTCTCATGCTGGGATTAGTGCCCTAACAAGAAGAGATGGGAGAGTGCTTGCTTCCTCTCTGCTTTACACACACACACACACACACACACACACACACACACACACACACACGGTAAGTGTTCTTGTCTCCATAGTACCTGATGTGATGTGCATTTATCAGAATATACGCCACATTGTTTTGCCAGTTTGTATCTCCCCACTGGACTGAGCTCTGTGGGGTCAGAATCTGCTGTTTATCTTTCTCTTTCCAGCAGCTAGCACGACATCTGGCTCAAAATACGCATCCAATGAATGACTGAATGATGCAAAACAACCTTGGGTAAGCTGGTGGTTGAATTAGATTGCCATAGATTTTTATTTGTATGATATTCAACTTGGTTATATTCCCAAAGAATGTGAAGAATGCATCCTGCTAGCAGGTTCATGATGGCAAGGTTGCCAGCCACGAAAAGTGCGGGGTGCGTCACAAACTGCAGAGTGCCTGAGACTGTGGGACTGCTGCCTGATTTTCAGCTGTATTTGTACCAGTTCTCAGTTGGGCCAGAAAGCCAGAGATGCCTAAAACAGCTGTTTCTGTGAGCCTCGGGGGCTACAGTGTTGAGTTCAGTGGTGCAGTTAGTGCATTGGCTTCCTTTTCTGTGGAACTGGGGACCAGGCTGAGGCAGGGGCTGGGGGAGCTGTGGCAGGCTGAAGGGGGGTTGGAGGAAGGAGAGGAGTTGTAAGGCAATGATCAGAATCCTGGCAATGGACAATGGCTGTTCTGGAATTGTACCACCTGTGTGTCAGTCTCATCCTGCCACTACTCTCACTAGCTGTGTGACCTTGGGCAACTTGCATAATGCCCTGAGTTGTAGTTTTGCCATCTGTAAAATGGAGTTTAAATTTTTTTATGTTTGAGACAGAAACAGAGCATGAGTGGGGGAGGGGCAGAGAGCCCGATGCAGGGCTTGAACCCATGAACCGTGAGATCATGACCTGAGCCGAAGTCGGGCGCTTAACCAACTGAGCCACCCAGGGGCCCCATGGAGTTTATCTACTTTAGACTAGGTCTAGAGAACCTGTGCCATGGGGTTCTAACGAAGATTAAATAAAATAAGTGCTCAGTAAATGTTAGCTATGACAGTATTGTCTGTTCATAGGTAGGGAAAAGGGCAGATTATGAGAAGGTCTTCGAGCTTAGAGAGCATGCCCATCTTCTTCACTGCTGTGTCTCTAGCACTTGGCTGTTTAACAAGCAGAAGGCTGTTGAATTACCACATGAGGGTGGTCCGGGCAGAATTTTTTAGAGATCTCTCAATGTTGTGGATTTTCCTAGAATGTCTTTCAGACGAAGTCACTTCGATTCTACTTTGTGATGCCTGGGCTCTGAGTTTTCTCAGTATGTTTTGGGACCATGTTATCTCAACTAAGTAAATGTATAAATCACAGCATGATTGGGTCTCCTATGAGGAAGGGGCTGGTACCATGCCCGTATTTGAATCCCCAAAGATAATGCCAGCAGTACATTGGAAAATGAAGTTTCTATCTGAACATTTATTCCACAGTCATAGAAACTGAAGATGGAAAAGACCTGAGGACATCTAGTCCATCCACATGATTGTACAAGAAAAGTGGCTGGAGCAAAACAGCCTGTTCACTTCATGCTCACGAGACAGCATTTCAATTCTTCCTGGAGCGGAGCGATTGCGCACACACAGTACAATGAAGACACAATGCAAACACTCTTTACAAACCTTAAGAAAATACTTCTAAATACGTTATTTTCATAAAACGATTGGGGACTAAACTGAAAAAGTGAAGGAGTCCTGGATTAGATGGGTGGTGTTGGTGAAGAAAGGAACAACTCAACAGAGCAGGTCGTGAAGCGGTTCTTACCGTGACTACTGGATTTTCTGGTTTGCCTATCAAAAATGAGTTGGGAGGAAGAGAGGCTCTAAAGTACTTTCTTTCCCCTTCATTCTTTATTCACACCTAGGACGTGCATATTAGCTCCAAGACTTTGTCGGACCCAGCACCAACACTGGAAGCCCCCAGCCTGGAAGATACACCTCAGTTTTACTTGGTGGCTGCTCTGGTTGGCACAGAAGCGGAAGCTCCCAGCTAGGGCTTGTGCAACAGCAGGATCCATGAATAATGGAGAGTCCCCTCCAGGCATGTTGAAGAGCTCAACTGGTTGTATCCCTGTGGCTGCCTCACTTGTCTTCCCATTCTTCCAACTCCTCTTTAATGGCTGGAAGGATCCCCTTGCCTCTCCACCTCGAGGCATCCACACTCTGGGGCCCTTATTGACAGGAACCAAAGTGTAGCCCTATCAGTTCCTGATCACCCCAGTTCCTGATCACTCCTGATCACCCCGTCGTACTTGACTGTGTGCTTCCTGTGCCAGAGGAATTTCCCCTTGGGACATGGGATGGGGTGTGTAACACAATCAGGCTGTCACGTTCCAGGTTTCACCACACCAGAGCTTGGATTGGAAAAGAACGGGCCTTCCTGATCTCATGAAACAGAAGCCCAGAAGAGGAGGCAAGGTAGCATCCCTGATCTTTTTTCCTTATTAAAATACCACCCTCCACCTGAAGATTTTGATCTTTGTGGTTTTTGAGCCTAAGGGGAGCTGAAAGAACAGAGGTGGAGAACAGAAAGGAGGGTTTTCAAAGGACCCTCCATTTCATGAACTCTATAAAACACAACACACTGTTTCACACATTGCAAAACACTGTTCAATTACTACCGATAAAAACAATCATTACTACTTAAGACAGCTTCATCTCACCACAAGCAATTACGCTGTTTCTTTTTATCCAGAAAATGGAAGCATTTTAAGCAATGCTGACAGCAGTAAGCCTGCTTTCAGCCCCTGCTGCTGCTCGCCGCATCCTGGCCACCATTTTGGCCAAGAAGTTCCTCAGAAGATATTCGAGAAGCTGTGCACTGGCCATCTACTTTGTGGATAGGCAGGGTCGTCTGGCATGTTACCACTGCTCAGAACGCCCCAGGAGAGAAGCTTAAGGTAAACCCGTTATACAAAAATCCAAACTTACAAAACAGATACGTTAGGGGATAATTGCATTACAAAAGGATTTTTTACAAAAGAATTCACCTCTGGGTTCCTTTAAATAGCCAGCTTCTCAAGTACAGTCAGAATATGAGCTGAGTTATAAAAATGTCTATGTACATTAGGAGCATGGCTGTTACGTGAGTTGAGGTACACCCGTACATCAGCCTTCCAGGCCGCGCAGAGGTTTGGGGAGCGCAGAGCATGATGGCAAGAGTCTACAGCATCATCAGCTGTTGCAGATGGGTAGGGGTGGCTACCAGGCATAATTTTCCAAAGACCGTTGCAAACCTATTTCTGGGCCTGGGGCGAGAACATGGGAGGATAGGGCATTTCAAGGCAGAATTGTCCTTTCTGTTTCCAGGGCTCCCCGTTCTGTTTCATCTGTGAGGCTGAAGTCCAATTAGACCCTTCCCACCTCTCTCATCAGTATCTCTGTGCCTACATTCACCCCAGGGCTTTCTCGGACAATTAACTAAAGTGTTATCTAATTACAGCTTAAGGAATTATCTTTCCCTGGGGACTGGGTAGTGCTTGGCAGAAACACAGGAGAAATTTTGTGATTGAGGAGCCTTTCCAATGATGTGCAGCTGTTAGAGCACAGTGCTTTGGGACAGTGCTGTGAATTCATTGTGGGCGTTCCATTTGATATGAGGGCGGAGCAAAATAACTGGTAAGTAAAGAAGTCTAGTCCTGAATGGTGCCCTGGGGTGGAAGTGGCTGTATGGAAGGTCAGTCAGCAGCTGTGTGCTGCAACGTAAACTCAAAAAGGCTCTTACTTCTCCCCAGGCCTGGAGCAGCCATACTTCTTGAAGTGTTTCTTGAAAAGTAATTGTTGGATCACACCTGTCAATCACCTAGGAGAGTTTGTTAAGAAGTAGGTTTCTGAGCTCCCCTCCAGACTCCCCAGCTCACCCCATCTGCTGGGGAAGGCCCTGGCAATCACGTTCTAATGGGTTCCTAGATGCTTCCTACCTACGCTAGCCCTGGGAACTGATGTTCCATAGTTGGCCAGGACTTTCCCTTCCTGCACGCATGTCCACCAGGACAAGGCAACCAGGACAAGGATGCCGGCACAGAGGGGAAGCCAGGGTACTGGTATCACTTTCTCAGGGCATTGGGTGGGGCCTGGGGGAGGTCACAGCCCCTCAGGCATGAGTGGGTACGGGGCTGGGAGATGGACTTGGTAGTGACCAATATAGCTCTGGACAACACAGGGGACAGTCCCAAATGTTAAAGCTTGGTGTTTGCAGGGGAGGTTTGATTTTGGGATTCCTAGAGCTGAGGCAAGTGCTGATTTGAAAATGGCCTGGAATGTGGTTTGCAGAGCATTTTCACTTCACCCACAGTGCCAGCTCACATGTCCCGTACAGGCAATAAGCAGGGATATTCCAGTATCATCCCAAGGCCACATCCGTGCTTTGCTTTTCTTTATAAAAGGCACACTCTAGTGGAGATGCTTAGATTGGAAGTACAGTCCTATTCATTCCTTAGCCAAAGAGCTTTACTGGCCTGGAGCTTTTGTTCTTCAGCATGGTGTACATTTTTAAGGTACTCACCTCTTCTGTCTGTCCTGTTCCCACTCACTCACCCCATCCCTCTCCCCTTTCATAGTCCTACTAACTGTGGGTCAGGATGGTGTCGGAGATCCAGGATCCTCTCAAAAACATGGCTGTTGCTGATCCAGCCAGTCCTTGGTCTGCTGTGATGCTAATGAGTTCACTTAATGTTTTACATACCTGCCTCACTGCCCTAAGTTTCTCTGGCCCTTATCTGGCTCTACATTCAGAATGCAGGAACAAATGTAGATGGGAGACTTGTATCAAAAGCTCCAACCCTGGATAATCCTGTTCTAAACTAAGATTAAAACCAGGTATGAGGAACAGTTTTATCTCCTGTTGGTGTTAGGGCAGAGAAAGGGCTAAAATGCGAACTATGTGTGTGGCACCTGATGAAAAGATTTTCAGGAGCTGGGGTTGCCCGGTCATTTACAGACCCTTTACCACGCAGTTTACTCCTAATTTACGATCCCTGCTCTTGAAATAACCCTACCCTGGAGAGCTAGAGAGTCAGCTTCTGAAGAGCTGTGGTTTCGTTTTAGGCTATGGGATGAGCAGACTTGACCTCTAAGAAGACTCAGACCTCACCTTCCCCACACTTGTGTCCGTAGTTACAAAAGAGCATTACAAAGTGTCTCAAGGGCTCAGAGGAATGCCAGGAACTGAGACCGGGAGCAGCATGGTCACCTAGGACTCACAAGTCCGGTTTGTCCTTTGATACTCTTCCAGCTCCGTTTTCCTGCTCACAGCCAGTTGCAGCTCCTGCCGTATCACCTGAATCTGCTTCTCGAGCTCCGAGAGTTCCTGCATCACTGAGTTCCGAGCTCCATTTAGGGAGTCCGCCTTTCCATTGGTGGTCAGTGAGGCAGGGAGCTCTCTTCTTCTGGGAGGGAGTGGGATGTCCTGATGGGCCTGGATACCCAGCTGGTTTTGTCCTCCTTCGTCACTAAAGATGTATTTCCGTCGGTTGTCATGACTCAGACTGGAAGTATTCCACACACTGGAAGGCTGACGGGGTCCCACATTGGACCTAGGAAACAAAGACACATCAGATTTACCTTCCATTCTGCAGCTCTTAGAGTGCTGTCCCCCGACTGCTCGCCATTTCAAACTGCAGCCATGGAGCTGGTTATGCATTCAGAGGTGAAGCCACAAAGCCAGGGACAGATTCCTGCTGGAGTGGCACAGGGACAAAAAGTCAATACAGTTCTCTTTCAACTGCAGTTCAAGGTCTTACCCAATCGGAATGGGTGTGTCATCTGGAGGGCTGATGGACCAGGGTGTGGCATATTTTATGAAGTACCTTGGATGTCTTTCCATTCCCTTCCTGCTGGTGAGGCTCAGAGAGCAGCAGTGCCTTGAAACATTCTTTGGCCATAAAGATGGTACTTTAGGAAAAGGGAGAATCTGTTGGACTCGAAGCAGCAATACTATAAAACGGTTCATCCTTAGTCCCACAGGACGACTCTGATGTTTACTACTTGAGTGTGAGGGGAATAAAAACATACAAGCTGCAGGTTTCAGCAAAAAGTTTTCCATTATAGGGATGACTTTACATGGGCTGAGAATGACAGTTCGTGTCTGAAGCTTAAAAAGAAACCCCAAGAAATCCTCAAATTCTTGCCGGAATAAAGAAAGTCAATAGAAATAGATTCACAATCCTCCTTTAGGCTTCCATCAAAGCAACTACCCCATCTGGGAGAGATGGCTGTACACAGGAAGAGTTACTGTCGGACAGGCACAAGAGGAGGGGGAGGTGGTGCCTGAAATCCACTGACAGATGCAATGAGAAGAGTTTCTTGCTTCAAGAACAGACTGGAGCCCTAAGCAGGATAGCTTCTGATTTCTTCTAGCCGGGGAGGAGGACGGCGGCGGGGAAGAGGAGGGTTATGACCACTTTTGCAATCTACCACAGGGCAAACCTAAGTAGAAACACTCTATTATAAGGTCCTTGTGTTTTTGTTCCCATCCATGTAACTGAATCGAGACTTTATTTCTGGATTCTTACTTTCCAGAAGGGGAGGACCTCCAGAGGCAGGGGAACAGGGAGGGGTAATAAAGTCTTGGTTCAGTTACATGGATGAGAACAGAAACACAAGGGCTTAATAGGATGATTCTGCTTCATCTTGCCCTGTGGTAGACTGCAAAAATGGTCACAATCCTTTGTTCCTCCTTTCCCTCCATGTCCCTCTCTGATGTGACTTTGCAGCTCATCTTTATCAAGGGGGATTCAAGGGCATGGGGGCAGTCTGGCTTTCCCTCCCCCTTGAATGTAGTCTAGTTTCATGACTTGTTTTGGCAACAGAGAATAGCAGAAATGGCACGTGGCAGTTCCAAGCCTGAACTTTTTAAGAAGCCTCGTGCACCTTCACTGAGGGTCCCTCTCAGACCCTGCTGCTACAGTGGGAACAAGTCCAGACTAGTCTGCTGCTCTAACAGATCACGTGCAGAGAGTCCCCAGTCTTCTCAGTTGACCCAGCCGAGGCCATAGACCAGCCAGCTTAGCTGCTTTTCCCCTCCCCACAAGCTGGCTGCAGACATAAGAGCAAATGTAGCCAAGCTCAGCCAAGTCTGGCCCAGATCAGGAAACTGCACAGCTGACCCACAGATTACTAAGCAACTTGCTGTTGTTGTAAAAAAGTTATTAGATAATTTTCTTACACAGCAAAAACTAAGAGATACATGCCCCAAGCCATTAAAATACATTCCAAACTACCCTGTGGTTCCTTTACATTTCTCATCATCTAAGTCTCCTATCAATGAGCAGGTGGCACCAGAGCTTAGCTTTCATGGGTCCTGGGCTGTGAAACAGCTCCACTGGCTTTACACCTAGATCAGACGTGCAGTTACAATTTTACTTCCAGCCCTACGGTTCCCTTGAATTTTTCCTTCAAATCTTTTCCAATTGAATTTGAGAAATTTCAAGACCGTCTCAATGGTTTACAGTTTTTGTGTATCTGGGGG